ACAGAAAGATCATAAGTTTGAGAAGAGTCTGGCTGGCAGTTTAGTAACTTAGCAAGACCTTGTTTCAAAAGATATAAAAAGGCTAGGGATGTAGCTCATTGTGAAGCTCTAGATTCAATTTTCAGTATAAAAAAAAAAGAAAGAAAGAAAATGGATCTATACGTTTAAAGTAAATAATACCATATGCTAGCAAATGGCTATCTTTCAAGTCACTGACAACAAATAGAAAGCATAACTTTAAAGAAATGTCATCACTAACAACAGTAACAAACCATAACAAAAAACATGTATGAGTACATATACAATAAACATTTTGTTAAAGGAAATTCAATAAGACCTAATTAAATGAAAAGTTATCCTTGTTCACTGAAAAACTTAATTTCAAAGTCACTTCTTTCTAAATTAATTCATAGATTTAATGAAACCCCAATGAGAGACAGCTGTTTATATAATGTGAAGAATCAATTATAAAACATATAAGAAAGAATTAAACTTTAACATATGCAAATACTGGTGACATGATTGGAGGAAGTGATGAAGATTTTTAAGAAATAAAAAGTATTAAGCCAGCTGTAGTGGCACATGCCTGTAATCCCAGAACTCCAGAGGCTAAAGTAAGAGGATCACCAGAAGTTCAAGTCCAGCCCAGGTTACATAATAAGTTCAAGACGAGCATGGACTACACAGTAAGACTATCTCATAAAACAAAAAAAGATATAAAAAAGCACTAACTATAAAAGGTGGATAAAATCCACTTTATTTAAATTATAAACTTCTATTTATTAAATATCAGTTTAAATTAAGTGAAAAGATAAGCCACAAAAGGATGATATCTGCCACACATATGTCCTACAAAAGATCAGAAACAAGAATATATGAAAACCCTATACATATAAGATACAACTCAATAAAGGAACAAAAGACACAAATAGGTATTTTATAGATGAAGAATTATGTATATGACCTGTACAAAATGAAGAGATAAATAATTTTACTAGTAATCAGGTAAACAAAACTGAAATCAAAGGTAAATATAGTTTTGGTTTAAAAAAAAGTTAAGAAATGCCAGTGACATGGATCAATAAGACCTCATATATGTTGGTGAGGCAATAAATTGCTAAACATCACTTTCAAAAACAATTTGACAACTGTGGTTTCTCTTCTATAAAGTTCTTTTTTTAAAAAAAGAAGCAGGGGGGGCTGGGGATTTAGCTCAGTGGCAAAGCGCCTGCCTGGCAAGCGCAAGGTCGTGAGTTCGATTCCTGGTACTGGAAGAAAAACAAACAAACAAAAAAAAGAAGCAGGGTTCCCTAAATACTAGATTAGAATGTCTGTGAGAGTCAGCAATGGATAGTAAAGAAAAGGGGCACTTTTCTATTTCTTTGAGTGCTAGATTGTACTGTTCTTGGTAATGAGAAATATTAAAGGTTTATGGATGAACCATTGATGATAGTGTGCTATGAACTAAGGATTACGACTAATCCGATTCTAGATGTCTAGGTATAAGGAGGAAACATATTAGTAATAGCAAATATTTGTAGAGTGCCTACCATGTTTCAGGCACTGTTTCTAAGGTCTTCAAATATCTTAACCCATTTACTCCTCTCAGTGAGGAAATTCTATGATTAATCTCATTTTATAAATGAGAAAAACAAAGTCCAGAGAGGTTAATAGTAACTCTTCCGAGGCCCACAGCAGAGGTGGGATTTAATTCAGGATAGTTGGTTCTAGAGTCTGAGTCTGTGCTCTTAATCATAAGATGTCTAAATAAATGAAAGTTAATTACATTAGAGCTTAGTCATGAAATTATAACACAATGCTTTCTATAACAATATTAATGGAAGAACCACATGTACAGCTCTGTAAGTATAGTAAAAACCACTAAATTGTACACTTTAAATGGGTGAATTTTATGGTATATAAGTTACATTCATCAATAAAGCTGCTTTTTAAAACCCTATAAACCACAACTAAGTCATTCTATAATGCAAATTGGGCCCATGATTATTATTAATTGGAGACAGGGTCTTACTATATAGTTCAGGCTGGTCTTGAACTCACTATGTAGCCCAGACTGACAATATCCTGAGTGCTGGGATTACAGGTGTGTGCCACCATATCTACCTATTTATATATTTATTTATTTTGCAAATTGAGCTCCTAAGTGATGGTGTGCTATTTTAGGAATTCAATATATGCCCATGAGTAAGATACACACTTTTCCTGCAAGCCAAACAAAACAAACCTCACTGTCAAGAGATGGCTCACTTTATGAGGGAGATAAAACAGAAAATTTTGTTATTATGAGTGGTAAAAATGTTCAACTCCCAGCTTTAGCCTTTCTGCATCTGCCCGAAAATCAAATGGCTCCCAGCTCCCAAGATAAATTTCACACTGCAGTCATAATTGTCTGTGTGGACGGAGGATACACCAACAATAAAATTTAGAATGAGGGTGGATTGTGATTGAAAACATACTGATATTTTAAAAGTCGTGTAACTTTCATCTATGTGCACAACTGTTTCTTTTAAATCAGTAACTGATTTTAAATGAGATAGGAAAAGTACTTTATAGACAAAGCTAGTAGTGACTCCTGGGCTGTGTCCTCAGGCTTTCAAGTTGTACAGCTCCAAGGGAGCAACACGGATGCCAAAATGGACTGTGACAGCTTTTCCTCAACATTATTATTATTTTTTTCTTTTTTTTTTTTTGGTAGGGCACAAAAGGAGAGACTGAGCAATATACAGTATGCTGTTCAGGGAATCTTTTGATAGTTTATCTCTTTTCATAACCCTTGATAGATTCTCATCCAGGTCAGCTATCCTCACAAATCTGGCTGTTGATCACAAGGAGACAAGAAGAAAACTTGGATTGCACCTCAAGAACTTCACACCACCAAAAGAATGTTCACCTGATCCTCTAAATGGCAGCAAATCTACGGCACGCATGCCACAACCAGCTGTTTGTTATCACTAAAAGCTCTAAAAGGTTTGCCACGACTGCTCTAAGCCACGGGTCACTGTTATCCTCTCAGGCCTCTCCAGAGCACATGAAGACAGGCTGCTAAAGCTGCTAAAGCAGCTTCATGAACACAAGAAACACAAAGAAAGTACGGAAAGGAAATGAAAACAAGTAAATCACTTATTTTAGCTAGATAGGTACAACATTTTATGTCATTATTGTGTTCTACCATGGACATGCACACATATCACAGGCTACATTTAATTTTGTTCCTGGTAAGACCTTCCCTGTCTACCATATTAAATTTATCAGTCCTTTTGGCTCCAGGGAGGCTACCAGTTCCCTTAGGCAAGACTTCTTACTGCTTCTTGCTAGACAGTAGCTTCTCCCAAGTGTCAAGCTACTCCCAAGCTACTCCCAAGTGTCAAGCCATGAAGCCTGGCATGCCTCAGGTAGTGCCTGTTCAGCTCCCTGAATTCTCTTTCTCAACTTTTATGCTCCCTCAAACCTCTGTCATGAGGTTTGGGAGACTATACTCCCTGGTCCTTACTTTTTCCTTTGATCAGTGAGTCACCTTTACAGGTCAGTTTAAGCCAAAAGTAGTCACTTTGCAGTCTAGTTTATCTGGACTGGCTATAGATTGAATAAGGTAATCAGACAAAGGCTTAACTTCAGTATCTTTTTGTGTAGTATGTATTTATATAACCTTGAAAAAGATTAGAACCCTTCTGTAAAGCTTTCTCTTTATAGTTTTACAATTGTGTTTTATCTCCTAAGGTCCAGATTTTTATCTTTCAATACCATTTCCCACAAAAAGGAAACCAGAACTCCTTGGAGGAATGGCAGATTCCATGCCTGAGGCAGGAAACAGATCAGATAAGCCTGGAACAAAATAACAGCAAGAGAGAGTGGGAAGAGGAATGCAGATTGAAATAAGACTGACATGATCTGATAATTGTTGAAACTGGGTGTTTAGTACATGGGAGTTCTTTATAGTACTGTACTTCTGTATTTAAAAAAATTCCATGAAAATAGTTATGAAAGCTAAGAAATAATTGCTTTTTTTTTTAATTCAAGGAGTAACAGCACGTGGAGGGTAAAAGATTTCCTTCTGTGTGTTCTAATAACCAGCCATTTCCCAGCGGTCAAGTAAAATTTCTATGAAAATATAAAAAGCATATGTGTATATACATTTACATGATCCACACAATTTTTAAAACACAACTGTACCATATCGAACACATTATGCTAAGATTTATGTTTTATTTTAGTAGCCTGGGAGGGAAAGGAGGTGGACAGGGAGTTGAACCCTTCTCAAGGAGCCTCAACCCTAGCCCTTAAAAAAAAATTTTTTTTGAGACAGGGTGTCCCTAAGTCGTTGTTTCCCAGGCTGAGCCCGAACCTGCAATCCTCGTTACCCTGCTTCCCAGAGCGCTAGCATTAATGCAGGGGAGAAGCATCACATAATAAAAGCGAATTTATCTGTATTGCATTCGATGTAATTTTACAGAATACAAAATCTGCACAGATTCGCAACATAAAAGAGGACGCCCAGACCAGTCCGCGGTGCCTTTCAGTGAGGCTTCGCCGTGGGCCGCGGGTAGAGGCGTCGCTCACCCTCTCGGTTACCCTGGGACTTGAGCGGGAACCCGCAGCAACCCTCTGCGCCCAGCGCTTCCTAGCTCTCGAGGCCTGCGGTCTCAGCACCACCCCGGGCGTCCCCGTCACCCGGGGCTGTGAACCCCGAGCTCCCGCCCCCGTCTGCCCTGCCGGCCTCGGAGACCGCGGGCGGCGTCTTCCTGTGCTCGGGGGTGGGGCTTTTCCAGGCTGCTCCCGGGGGCCAGACGGACTAAAATGGTGTTGGAGGGACGCCCGGAGACAGCTCCCAAGGGAATCTAGGGCCGCGACAGCAAGAGGGCCTAACCCATCCTTCTCGCGCCACCGGCAGGAAGGTGGACGAGCCCGGAAGTTTCAAGATCCCAGGGCCCCAGCACAACTAAGCACGCCACAGGACAGAACACATATTTGAGAGAACGCCGAAAGCGCGGGGAGGCGGGCCTGCCTCACTGTCACCATCTCGCGACACTTTAAGTGACGTCGCACAACAAGCGCGCGTTCTAGGCTTTCACCTTCACTCAATGTGTGCCTACCCCTTTAAGCACGCGATGGACAGTTATTTCAGCCTATCAGCTTCATTGTCAATCTCCAATCAGATTTAAACTTCTTTCAGCCGCCGTAGAAGTTGGAAGAAAGGGGTCAAGAGAGGGGGAGAGCGCGCGCGCGAAAGCTCTCCGTCTCTCGTAAGGTCGGTATGAGCTGCACTCTCAAGAAAAAAACGCCCGGACGGATGACCTAACTTCCCAAATATTGGATTAAAGGACTGGGTCACAAACCAATGAAAGGGATGAGGAGGTGGGATCGTTGCCTTCACCGTGCAAGAAGTACCGTTACAGGGTAGACTTTTTGTCCAATCAACGCCTCCGGACTTCGGGTCAGGTGGCCATAAAGTGCGAGGGGCGGAGCTACAGCCTGGCGCGAGGAACCGTTAAGATAGACAACAAATATAACCAATAAGGTGCTCTGATTCGGGCGTTGGGCACCCAATAAAAGTGGCTGGGCGGGCGCCTTCCTCGAGCGCGGGGAGATGTAAAGACAGACAAATACTTTTCCCAATGAGACTGTGGAAGAGCGAGCTAATTGACCAATGAGGTCTGCGGGGCGGGATCCCTTGCCGCGGCGGAGTCCAAGATGGCGGCGTGCGGTTCCGCTGTGTGAAACGAGCGCGGGGCAGCGGGTTAGTCAGCTCCGCGGAGACGACCTCCGACGACCCGCGACAATGAAAGGAAAAGAGCGCTCGCCAGTCAAGCCCAAACGCTCCCGTGGTGGTGAGGACTCGACTTCTCGCGGGGAGCGGAGCAAGAAGTTAGGGGGCTCTGGTGGCAGCAATGGGAGCAGTAGCGGGAAGACGGACAGCGGCGGCGGGTCGCGGCGGAGCCTTCACCTGGACAAGTCCAGCAGCCGAGGTGGCAGCCGCGAGTATGACACTGGCGGGGGCAGCTCCAGTAGCCGCTTGCATAGTTACAGCTCCCCAAGCACCAAAAATTCCTCGGGCGGGGGCGAGTCGCGCAGCAGCTCCCGGGGTGGAGGCGGGGAGTCACGGTCTTCGGGGGCCGCCTCCTCCGCTCCTGGCGGGGACGGCGGGGAGTACAAGACTCTGAAGATAAGCGAGTTGGGGTCCCAGCTGAGTGACGAAGCGGTGGAGGACGGATTGTTTCACGAGTTCAAACGCTTCGGTGATGTAAGTGTCAAAATCAGTCATCTCTCAGGTTCTGGCAGCGGGGATGAACGGGTAGCCTTTGTGAACTTCCGGCGGCCAGAGGACGCGCGGGCGGCCAAGCATGCTAGAGGCCGCCTGGTGCTCTATGACCGGCCCCTGAAGATAGAAGCTGTGTATGTGAGCCGGCGCCGCAGCCGCTCCCCTTTAGACAAAGATACTTATCCTCCGTCCTCCAGCGTGGTCGGAGCCTCTGTAGGTGGTCACCGGCACCCCCCTGGAGGCGGTGGAGGCCAGAGATCACTGTCCCCTGGCGGTGCTGCTTTGGGATACAGAGACTACCGGTTGCAGCAGTTGGCTCTCGGCCGCCTGCCCCCTCCACCTCCGCCACCATTGCCCCGAGAGCTGGAGCGAGAACGCGATTACCCGTTCTATGAGAGAGTGCGCCCAGCATATAGTCTTGAGCCAAGGGTGGGAGCTGGAGCGAGTGCCGCTCCTTTCCGAGAAGTGGATGAGATTTCACCTGAGGATGATCAGCGGGCTAACCGGACGCTTTTCTTGGGCAACCTAGACATTACTGTGACCGAGAATGATCTAAGAAGGGCTTTTGATCGCTTTGGAGTCATTACAGAAGTAGACATCAAGAGGCCTTCTCGTGGCCAGACCAGTACCTATGGCTTTCTCAAATTTGAGAACCTAGACATGTCTCACCGGGCCAAACTAGCAATGTCTGGCAAGATTATAATTCGGAATCCTATCAAAATTGGTTATGGTAAAGCTACACCTACCACCCGCCTTTGGGTCGGTGGCCTGGGACCCTGGGTGCCTCTTGCTGCCCTGGCACGAGAATTTGACCGATTTGGCACCATACGCACGATAGACTACAGGAAAGGTGATAGCTGGGCATATATCCAGTATGAAAGCTTGGATGCAGCTCATGCTGCCTGGACCCATATGCGGGGATTCCCACTTGGTGGCCCAGATCGTCGTCTTAGAGTAGACTTTGCAGACACGGAGCATCGTTACCAGCAGCAGTATCTGCAGCCTCTGCCCTTGACTCATTATGAACTGGTGACAGATGCTTTTGGACATCGGGCACCTGATCCTTTGAGGGGTGCTCGGGATAGAACACCACCTCCATTATACAGAGATCGTGACAGGGACCTTTATTCTGATTCTGACTGGGTGCCACCCCTGCCCCCAGTCCGAGAGCGTAGCACTCGGACTGCTGCTACTGCTGTGACTGCTTATGAGTCACTGGATAGCTTGGATAGAAGGCGAGATGGCTGGTCCTTGGACCGGGATAGAGGCGATCGAGATCTGCCCAGCAGCAGAGACCAGCCCAGGAAGCGGCGGTTGCCTGAGGAGAGTGGCATACGGCATCTGGATAGGTCCCCGGAGAGTGACCGGCCACGGAAACGTCACTGTGCACCTTCTCCTGACCGTAGTCCAGAACTGAGCAGTAGCCGGGATCGTTACAATAGTGACAATGATCGATCTTCCCGTCTTCTCTTGGAAAGGCCCTCTCCAATCAGAGACAGGCGAGGTAGTTTGGAGAAGAGCCAGGGTGACAAGCGAGACCGGAAAAACTCTGCATCAGCTGAACGGGATAGGAAGCACCGGACAGCTGCTCCCACTGAGGGAAAAAGCCCTCTGAAAAAAGAAGACCGGTCTGATGGGAGTGTCCCCAGTGCCAGCACTGCTTCATTGAAGCTGAAGTCCCCTTCCCAGAAACAGGATGGGGGATCAGCCCCTGCTGCAGCAGCCTCTCCCAAGCTCTGTTTGGCCTGGCAGGGCATGCTTCTGCTGAAGAACAGCAACTTTCCTTCCAACATGCATCTGTTGCAGGGTGACCTCCAAGTGGCTAGCAGTCTTCTCGTGGAGGGTTCAACTGGAGGCAAGGTAGCCCAGCTCAAGATCACACAGCGTCTTCGTTTGGACCAGCCCAAATTGGATGAAGTAACTCGACGCATCAAAGTGGCAGGGCCCAATGGTTATGCCATTCTTCTGGCTGTACCTGGAAGTTCTGACAGCAGATCCTCCTCTTCCTCAGCCACATCGGACACTGCCACCTCTACTCAGAGGCCACTTAGGAACCTTGTGTCCTATTTAAAGCAAAAGCAGGCAGCTGGGGTGATCAGCCTCCCTGTTGGGGGCAACAAAGACAAGGAAAACACCGGGGTCCTTCATGCCTTCCCGCCTTGTGAGTTCTCCCAGCAGTTCCTGGATTCCCCTGCCAAGGCACTGGCCAAATCTGAAGAAGATTACCTGGTCATGATCATTGTCCGTGGTGCGTCCTAAAGTCCATGTGTAACTTGTATTTACTACTTTGATACGGTTTCTGTTTTGTGATATGTAATGGGATACAGCATCAGATGAGATTTTCTTTTTGTTTAGTTGTAGCCTTTTTAAAAATATTTTTATAAACCTCTTTAAAACAGAAATTAGAACAGGTTAGCAGTTAAATGAAAGAGAAGTCTTTAAGGTAGCAGGAAAGTGGATTTGCTTTAAGAGTTCCTATTATGGATAACTTTTCCTTTGTTTTGTTTTTTTTTTTTTTCTTTTTTAATCCTGAGCTTAAAAAATCCTCAAAGTTACAAAACCAAAAGTTTGAAAAATCAGAATTTGAACAAAAAAGTCTTCTGACTATATAAAGAGGTATTAATGTGACTTCATTGGTGTATAGATAAATAATGTTTATCCAAAACATTACTTTTGTGGTTGAAATTTGGTAAGGAAATCTCAGAAATACAGGCAGTTAAATTGTTTAGCAGCATAATTATTTTAATCAGGTATTTGAATATTTCTCTTAAAATATAGCTTATTCCAGGAGAGTTGGCTTTACATGCATTTTTATCATTAGCTCTTGAGTTTTGTATCCCGTATGTGCACTTTTGGTTTGTAGCTGTAACTGGTAAAAATTGAGGACTGTGTTACCAGCCTTTTATGTCTTATGCTTAGACTAGTATGCAAGAAAGTGAGTAGGTGCTTATAAAATCAGAATTTTTAGTCAGTTATAGGTGTGTGGTGGTGTTTTACTGTCAGAGGCGTAGCAGGTACAGTTCAATTTTAATTGTGCATATTTTAAAATTTTAATATTCTTTATCAAAGATGAGTTTTTTGTATCCATTCAGATTTCTGATTTCAATAATAGAAAAGTTGGCTTCAGGCTTTTGTTTCAGTGGGCATTAATCAGCCATATCTGGATTGAAGAATTTTTTTTTTTAAAGTCAGTAGAAAATGCCTTTGGTACACTTTTTTTTAAAAAAAAAAACTTGCTGGTATTTTTATTTTCGTATTTAAACAGCAGTGGTGACATTACATTATTGGAAATGTTTTGAATATTTTTGAAGTTTCATACTTAATATTTTCACTGTTTTCCAGCCTTTGAGATTTGAAATGTCAGTGTAGTAAAATCCTTTTTATTGTTTGCCCAGAAATCTGTAATTATTATAAAATAATTTAGCCCACCCACAGTTTTTTTGTTTTGCTTTGTTTTTTAATTTTTGAGATTTTTTTAGTTTTTTTGTTGTTGTTCGCAGAGCTAAGAATGATAGACTTTTGGTTCTTAGCAAGGACTTACACTATTTTACATTAATGGATGGTTTTTGTTTTATTTTTGTTTTTGTTTTTACCTACTCCTCTGCCACCACCCCTGATTCCTCAGGTCACTAGTAAGTATATTTTTCTCCCTTGATTTAAGTGGTGAGGACTTTAGGCCCTTCATATTAGGTATGATTAGGAATTTTGGAACCTTCTGGATTGTGGTCAGTTTTTTTCTGTGAAAGTGACTTATTCAAAGCCTGGCAGAGCTCAGTAACTTTTCTTTCTGTTATCAAAGCTGATAGTTTTGAAATAGCACCAATAATAACCCAGGGAAATGTCATGTAATTTTTATTTTCATTATGACAGGTGTCTTGTGCATGTTAGCATGAAAACCTCATCACTACTGTGTCATCCTTTTAGGTTTCCATTATGCATTTATACATTTTTTTTTTAATTTGGAGATTCTTTTTGTGTTTTTCATTTTTAAACTGGAAAAACTAGCCATTTTAAGAGAAAGAGAGTACTAGGCTATGAGCACAAAGCCCCTCAGTATGCCTGCAACTAAGACTTTGGGTGCCTTTTGTTTCCCAAAAGCAGTGGTTGGTATAGAGTAGAAAGCATTTAGAAACTAATACAAGTATGGAGTCTGCATCCATGGGGTCAAAGTACAGCTGTAGCTAGATACATTTTTCCAGTTTAAATATTTCAGTAACCATTAACTTTTGAATATCTTTTGATAAGATAGACAAATGATTTTATTCTTTTAGAGAGTGAAGTCTGTGGCATCTAATTTTACTATAAACCAAAATGTGTGTGGTTTTTCCCCTTTTTTCTTTTTTGTTTTGAACTTTAGTTGGTATGATAGTTTATTGATGAGCACTGTGGTTTTTGCTCCATGTTTGTTTGAATCCTTATCTGACATTACTGCTTTTGTTAGACCTGGGCAATTTTGTGCTTCAATGTTTTTGAAACAGTGGCTTGATACCATTTCTAAATGTGTGTATTATAAAAAACTAATGATGTTTAATTGGGTACTTACCTACAGAGTACCATTGTTTAGGTGAATCTCTTATTTGTGTTGCCCATTCTGGGTTCAGGTTCAAAATATTTGTAAATTATCTACTTAAACCTTCAGAATTTGAATGAAAGCAAAAGTCTAAAACTGGTTCCTAATACTCAGAATTGCCTAATATCAACACTAGATATTTTTGTAGCATCCAAATCTTTTTTCTTGAATTACTTTAGTGTAACTGATTTTTTTAGGAATTCACTTAAAATGAAGGGAAAGAAAATTTCTTCAGTGTTTCATTAAATTATTAAGTATTACTGGTAAAAATAATGTAATTAAGACTTTGAGACCACGGCTTCAAAGTTTATGGAAAATTAAGCACACAGCTCCTAGCAAATAATTCTATTTAGTTGTTTTGGTAATATTTTGTTAATTGTAATTGAGATTCCTGTAAAGGACTTTTTCAAATGGAAACTTAAATTTCTGGTTTAGGATGACTGCACTGAGAGAGTTTTCCTTTAGGGATTACATCTTAAAAATGTCTTTGGCTGGCATAAGCTTTTGTCAAGTTTTGAAGGTAATATATTCCCTTCTTGAGTCAGATCATTTGATATATAGCAGTTAAAAGATGTTCTTCAGAGTCAGTCATTTCTAGATTTATTTAAAAACTATTTTATGAGCAAGTGTTCACTGATTATAGTAATTTTTTTTTGAAAATTTAATTCCACTTTTAATCTTAAGACAGTGAAATTGCTCACTTTGCAGGCACAATTTGAACTGTTTAGTCTGGCTCCATATAGGAACCATTCACCAAAATCTCTGTGGTAATAAAATTATGAAATCCTGTTAAGACCTTAATGACCTTTTGGAGAGAATTTCTGGACTTTTCAGTCAATGCCACAGTGATTTTGAGATGGGAGTTAGGTATGAGAACAAGAAGAGAAGTGGAACTGACCCTGTTAACATTCTGGTTATAGCGATGTCCCTTACAGGGGAAAGTGATTTCAGGTAACTACAGTGAAATGTTAACGAAGTGTTAATGTGTGCGATTTAAACAGTTGAAAAGTGAGAGTCCTAAAGTGTTCTTTTACTGCTTAGCAATTGTATGAGTGTTTTCTTAACAGAAAATAACAGCTGCTGTCTTTGGTAACGTAGATGAAGGTGGATTTTTAAATGACTTTGTATCTTGACCCTTTTCTACAGTAATGGAGTAGTAGTCTATTACTCCATAAAAATTACAGAATGAAAGTAGAGGGGGTAAAAGTTTAAACTCCACCTTTTTATATTTTCACTTTTTAAGTTATATTTAAGATATTGGTTGATTGTAAACTTGCTTTTTTTCTGAAAATTTTTGCCATGTTTTACTCAGTTGTATAAGGATGAAAGATATTTTCAGCCCTATAATCAATTGCAGTCGCTAAAAAAAAAAAAAAACCTATTGTTCCACCTGTTAGTTGTCTATCCATACAGTAAATTCATTTCAAGGTTTGTGCCAGTGGGTATTATTGGTGCTTTTTGAAGTCAAGGTGGACTATCCAGAAAGGTCTTGTTAATATTATGTTCATCTATAATGCATAGGGGAAATATATATATATATATATATTTTTAATATTGTAAACATTTGTACTGAATAACCTTTTTTTCCCCCCCGCAAGCAAAACTGGTGAACAGCGGATGAAGATATGGAATTCAAAGCTCTAATGGACCTTTTTGAAGAGAAGTTGTAGCTTATGTGGAGTTTACATGGGCCTCTGATGGAAGAAAGCTAATCTGTTTAGTATTTGTGCATTTTACTAAAATGGCAGCTTAACGTTGTGTATCTGCTATTGTGATGCCAATGCCGGTGTTTTAAGTGGAAAAAAAATGACCTCTTTGCTTTGTGCTGTGTACACAAGATTTCTGGAAAAGTAAAGAAAAACCCTTTTTATGGCTCACACAGCTTAAAAGTAGCTGTCACTCAAACGTGCGCTCACAGTTGAGCTGCTTTTGTTTTATTCTAAATAAATTGTTTCTTTTGAGGAAAATGTTTTTCTGCCTGGAAGTGAATTGACGGCAAACCTTGACCCCTTTGTTTGCAGCCGAGGGGGTACTTGCTGCTGCTCAGATCTTGTATGTCTTGAGCAAGAAGCAGGGAGGAGACCATCAATTTCATTTTGACTATCACTGTGTGTCAATTCTGAAGGATCACTAGTGTTACCGTGGCCCCCTTTGTTTGCAGTGAAGGGGATCCTTTGCTTCTCGGTCCTCAACGTGATGAGGAAATGGTGCTGTTGGCTGGCACACAAGAAGCCGGGGCAAGCACCCTAAGCCTCACCACAGTGCACGAGTCGGGGGCTTTGCTGGTTTGAAGAGCTGGAGTTGCTGAATTTAAGTTTTGATTTATTTTGTTCACCCATCACGTTTGGCCTTAGTTTCATTTTTAATTTGAAGAAAAGTTTGAAATTGCTTTATCTTGCACTTTTAACACTTGCACCAAATTGCCAAAAGAAGGAGAAATACTCCGTTTGCTTTTTAAATGTTAATGATGATGTTAATAAAGCCTTTCCTGACACACTTGAGGAGCTCCTTCGTCTCCAGGGGCTTCTTACCAGAGTTATGCAGTGATGGGTTTAGTTCTGAATGGATGAAGAGTTCCTGAGAGCTAGCATTTGTAATTAGAACCGTTACTTGGTATCTGTGCCTTATTTGACCTGTGGTTCCACATGCCTTGGATGTGCATGCACCGTGACGGTTTAATAGGTACGAACGCACACTCAGGCCCGGTCACTTCGGTTGGTAGTACAGATTGTGAGGAAAAAAAATGGAGGCATCCTTAAGGAGGAGAAAGTATTTGCCTTTAGTTCCTGCATTATCCTGTACAGGGGCTCTTGAGCTTTGGAAGCCTGTTCCCAGTACAGGAGAACAACTCCCCTGTTTGCAGCAGGAGACTTCGGTGCACAGTGACAACGCTGGAGTTCAAGAGGAAGCCAGCAATGCTGCACCATTGGCTTCAGACACCATGGTTGTTGTTTGCCAGTTTTAAACTAAACTAGTTGCAGACGAAGACCACCTTGAAATGCAGGCTTGTTGGGCTTGTTTTGAATTGTAACCTCGGATGGAAGAGCCCTAGTGCTGTCCGTCTCCATGCGGGATTGATGATTGCTAGGCAACAGGTGATTATCAACCAAGGATGCCACGGTTATACTCTGCAAGGTGGTGTTCCAGTGGCAAACAGCTGTATAAACTTGTAAACAGGTAAGAGGGTTTTTAGAGATCAAAAATGCATTATAATTAATAGGTTGAGGGCTTTTAATGTTTCAAGTGTGTTTCTCTGGTTGGAAGTCTAGGCATTCTGCTGCCATTGCTAGCTTCCTTCTGTCACTGAGGTATCATATTTACAAAATTCTAGGCCAGAACTTTTATTATACTTCATGTTTTTGTTCCTTATTTTTAGTATTTGAAAAAGTCTTTTAATGTGGGAGTGAAAATTTTAAAATTTTGGTTATGAATTTTGGAACGAGGGCTGTGATGTCCTTTAAAATGTTTGATATTTTTCATTAATCCTAGCCTTTGCCTTTTGTTGTGATTTTGTGGTACCAGAGGACTTACTGCTATCAGTATGTTCATTTATAAACATTTCTAAATTTGAAAGTTAAGTATTATAGTATGTGACAACAAAAAGAGTATGCCACTCTTTTCTGATTGGGAATGATAGATTCTAGCCAAAATGTTTTTTCCTTATAAAGAGACCAGTCGTAAAATTAGGAAAGTGCAACTTTAGATAAATGAATGGACAGTTTGAAAAAAGTGTGACTTTTGTCTGCTCTTAGCATTTTTATTCCCTGCTTAGTCCTACCAGCCTTCTGAGCCTCCCACATTCATCAAGTGTGGGGCTTTGACAGCTTATCACAGTTTAACTTTCATGGTATGTAATACAGCTTAGATTTTCTTACTTTGTATGAAATGAGACAAAAAAATTTTGAATAGTCATCCAAAAGACTTACAATCTGGTAACTATAGTAGCTGATCTGTACAAACTTTTTTTTCCCATGAGTTTGATTGAGCTCCTCGAATTGAACTGGACATCTCACATACCCAGACTTTTAGAGAGTAAAAGGGGTAAAATGGACATTAGAAATTTTAATGGTCTCAGTGTGTCATTTTTAGGTATTTTAAAAAAATTACGAGGTGGTTCCATCAAAGGCTTTGCTAAAGGAGCTCCCCTTATATTTCTTTAAAACATTTAATCTGGTAATAGCAGTTTTGAATGTGTAAATCCACTAAGTAGTTTTTCCAATTAGTAAGCAGTTATTTTAAGTCATCATGGAGGTTTAAGAGATTATGTTGTACTTTCTATATATTTCTGAATGTTTGGTATTTCCCTAAGATCTCATGCTTTATCTCCCAAGAACGAAGCAAATGTGTTTCAAATGGCATTTATTTGTCTGTAGAACCATATACAAAATTGGAAGGTATACTGCAGGACAATGTTTTTTGTTTTTTGTTTTTTTTTTTTTTTTTTGTCTTTTTTTAGACAGGGTCTCGCTGTGCAGTTCAGGCTGGTCTTGAGCTCACTTTGTAGCCCAGGCTGGTCTTGAACTCGCAGGGATCCTCCTGCCTCAGCCTCCTGAGTGCTGGGATTATAGGCATGCACCACCATGCCTAGCTAACATGACAATGTTTTGAAATTACAATATTTGGGAAATTATTTATTCCCAGCTACACTGTGAAGGAAAAACTAGGTTGAGTGTTATATCCAGAGTTCTTGATTTTATAAATTGGAAACTGCCCTTTGAAGTATTTGTGTGGTTTTGTAGTGTCTTTCATCTGATATAAATTTAGTTTTCTGTAAAGGAAGTTTTAGAACACTGCTGAACTGACTTGGGCTCATTTTGAAAGCTTGGCTATGGTATTAAAATTGAAAATAAGGATTACCCTGACTTGAGTGAACAACCCAGATTTTATAAAGTGCCACTTCATTGTTTATAGGTTCTTTACCTGAGGCAACAAATGTAGTGCTTATGGTTTGTATATCATTTTTTCTTTTAGTAGTATTATATCTGGTTATGGTCTCTCTGCCTGCCATTTTCATCTGTCACTCCAGGTTACTGTCTGAGCTCTCCTGTTTAAAAGATCTTTTCACTTGATAACTTCGATCTAGTTTTAAGTTCTTAGCAGATGAACTTAATAGGGTAACAGTTTATTCAAACCTTAAGCTTGGTTTTAGCAGCCAGGAAGTTTTGACCTTGATGTAAAATTACTTAACTTGCTTCAACTGAAAAGAATGTAATACTCAGTTCCAACTAAGGTTTCTGTGCGGTCATTTGAATAATGGCTATATGTTAGGAGCTGAAGTGCTGGAAATAGGAAATAAAAGATCAGATAGTCTCTGGAGCTATTAGTAACTTATACTGTAATTGGGGAAAGTAGGTATAAATGGATACTAAATACAGTTTAAGACAGCTTTAGGAAGGAAGTCACAAGTCAATATCAAATTAATTGCTAACGTATTTTTGCAGGTGATATGGTTACGTGAAAATTATTTAAAGCTGGGATGTCAAGAAATTTTTTAAAAAAGAATTTGTTAGAAAAGGACATGAAATGGTGGAGGGAGGTTGGGGTTGAAATGTCAGGCAGACAAACATGAGTAAAAGTACAGCAGCTTGTTGGTTGATGCTTTGGGAAAATAAGCTGTGGGCTGAAGCCTGGAAAACTGCTAAGATTACTGGGTCGACAAAAACAGGAAATCTTAGAGGGGAAGTCAGGTTGAAGAGGGTGGAAGTGTGGATAGATGATCAACTGAGACAGACTGATAGCAGTTATTTATTGAATACCCACTTCATGCCAAGTACTCTGTCAAATACTGTATACACATTGTTTCATTTAAGTCTCACTGTATTCCATAACCTGACAACTATTGTGATAGCCAGGATTTGTCTCAGCTAGAGCTCTGTTGGTCATTGTACTGTTGTGCCTAATGACCTTTATTCTGGAGGCTAGGGATAGGATTAAAGCTACAAACTTGAGAAGATGGCCAGGGGATTTTAGACTACAGTAAATCAACATTTGCAAAACTCAAGGCTCTTTGCTGTTTCAAGATTTGTTAGAATTAGCATGGCCCAGGAGTCTTTGTTCTTTTATAAGCTCCTCAGGTAATTCTGATGGTACCTTCTGTGGTCAGTGGGCCCGTAGTGTAAAGTATGGAGGTGTAAACGTACTGGAGTAAGTACTAGAGGATGAGAAGAGACTATGGTGCTGTAAAAGTCTAGGTAGGAGTGCAAGAGTAGTGTTCTGTCTCAGAAACTGAGGAGAAGAGCTTCCAGAAAATAAAGCTTTTATAGCAGGCAGGAAGAAGGGAACAAAATGCCATGAATTTATCACTTAAAATTGTCACTTAAGTAACAGTTTTAGAATCGTGTAATTATTTAATTTTGCCTCAATATTGCAAAGAAGAACTGCTGTTTATGAAATGCTAAAGGTACACCAGAACAGTTTTGTGACATGGCTAAAGAATACACAGCTAGGAACTGATTGAAGTATCCTTGAGTTTTCAGATGTTAATCTAAAAATAATGTGACTTATTTTATTTTATTTTTTGGTTTTTTTCCTGTACCGGGAATCAAACTGACGACCTTGCACTTGCCAGGCAGGCGCTGTGCTGCTGAGCTAAATCCCCAGCCCTAACCTATCTATTTTAAATTAAAATTGAAAGCCATACTGGGATTGAGCATGTGTGTACACATCAAAGTTGTTTCTATTAATGAGCTGTTATCTATACTACTAAACTAGATTACTCATAGGCCTGAGAAAAAAGTTGAGCATCCCTAATTTGAAATCCAAAGTACTCCAATATCTGAAATCTATTGATCATACTGACACTCGAGTTTCAAATTTAAGAGCATTTCAGATTTTCAGCTTAGGAATGCTGAACCAGTAAAGTCTACACAAACATTCCAAACCTAAAAACCTCCAAAATCCTAAATACTTCTGATCTCAAGTATTTCAGGTAAGGGATACTCAACCTGCATAAGTAGAGTATATCTTTGCCTTGTATATCATTGAAAGAATTCTGCTTTTTAATTATCTATACTTTGTTATATTCTATATGTATAGCTAATTCGTCAGTTATTTAGGTAGCTCTTATATACTAGGCATTATTCTATATTATGAGTGTATTGGTAAAGAAAACATAAATTTCTCTTTTCTCTTGTAGCTTATATTCTGGTAGAAGAAGTGAGGTGGTAAATTATAAAGTTAGAGCCTTATGGTCTGGAGCAAAAGGTTTGGGTTGTATTCTAAATATTGAATGCAGTGGAAGCCATGGGAGATATTAAAAGGGTAGTGTTAGGATTTACTCAAGATTTGACTACCTGGAACTAGGTGTATAGCTTTGTGGTACAGCACATCCTTAGCATGCAAGAGGTCCTGGGTTCACTCCACAGCAACTCCTATTCCCTCCAGGAATTGACTGCTTGTTTCAGGGGAGTTAATATAAATTTACTTCAATATGGAGGAAAATTAATTCTTAGTATTCAGATTCCTTATAAGGCCTTGAATATATTCCTTTTCAGAGA